TTTCCATGGGGAATCTGAATTTCACATTTGAGCTTGATCCCCCAGATCAGACAATCCTCCATAGCAGACCAGAAATTTTAACATTATTTATGTGAAAAATAAAAAAAATAAAAAATTCTAGACCAACTCACAAGAGCTTGAATTAAATGGACTCAATCATTTAATAACAATATAACATCAACTGTTTCAGGGACTTGGTGGGAATGAGCTCCAATTTCAAGGTAAGAGAATTATTTTGAAGTAGCTAGAATAAAGATCCTTCTATGCCCATCAGGTTTGAAGATCTTTGAATAGAATACTGCAAAATGTTTGGCTTTTATATGTGCTTTTTTTATTATTATTATATAATTATTTGTTTTGAATAAAGTGTTTTGAATTAAGGATGATTTCATGAAACATAATATATGAGTATTATGAAATTTTGAATTTTTCCAAAGACATTCCCATGGTGCATGATCCCAGTCCAACCACAGATGAAAATAAGGGTAATTTAGATCAAGGAATCCAATTGCTAGAACATGCACAAATCAATGCCATTGCCACTAGTTACAGATCACCATTGATTAGAAAGCTCATCATGATAAACCATGACATCTCATTTCTTCTCAGCCCTGAGCCCATAATATCAGAGCATGTTTCAGGTGAAACAAAGATGCTCTGAGTATCGGAATAAGAAAGTTAGCTAAATGATATTCCATCAAAAGAATCCCTTTGTGATACTGTTGAGTAGAATTCTGCAAAATTCTGCAAGTCAGTGTTTATACATCAACATTTTTGGAAAATTTGATATCGCAGGAAGTAGCAATGTTTTATTTGTTTTGTACAAACTCAATGACAGTATATTTTTGGACAACAATTCAGACTGTAGTTTTACCAGATGTAGAACTAAACATCACCCTATCTTGGTATATTTGAAGTCCCAAAACGGCTTAGTTTCAGAAATATCCCAATTTTAAATTCAAAAATGGCCGTTAGCTCCGCACCCTCCGCTCATTTGCGCCGCACCCAATATTTCCCACAGGCTCTGTCTGCATAGGGTGAACATCTATTAAATGAAAATCACATCAATTATATATTTTTAATGGAATGGCATTATGTCAGATTCTAGCAATAGGGATCCTATGAATGTTACAATAGTTGACTGGTGAAGGTTCTATTTGCACTTTTATTTGGGATGATTGGTTTAAACTTTTGTCCGAGGCTATTATTGCCACGGATTTTACAAGATCTTATATTTGTACAAAGGAGGAGGGAAGTTAGCGCAACAGATTTTGGACAGTCATATTTTTGATTTTGGCCATTTCCTGGGGATTTAAACAGTTGCATATGTTAGGGGAATTCATTACTTCCAGGAAAATCACTTCTAGAGATGATAAAATAATTTCGACTTTGAGACAGGGTAGATGCAAACAACCCACCCACATGTTTTTTCTGAAATGTTTTCCTGATTTTCAACCCCTTCCATCCTTGCTTTTTTTTAAAAATTTCTTGCATCAATACGTTGCATTTTGACACACAGTTAATCCCTTAAAAGGAATAAATGATTCCTTTTAGATAAAGTGGAAAACAATATTTCCCATGTTATTTTCCCATAGGAAAAATCATTGCTTTCAGCTAAGTTTGGTCACCCATAATGGGTATCTTTAAAACCCCTCAAGGAATCACTTATTCCTTTAAAGTGGTTAACTATGTGTCAAAATGCAACATATCGATGCAAGACAAATTAAAAAAGCAGGGATGGAAGGGGTCGAAAATTAGGAAAACATTTCAGAAAAAACATGTGGGTGGGTTGTTTGCACCTACCCTGTCTCAAAGTCGAAATTATTTTATCATCTCTAGAAGTGATTTTCCTGGAGGTAATGCATTGGCCTAACATATGCAATTGTATAAATCCTCAGAAAATGGCCAAAATCAAACATATGACAGTCCAAAATCTGTTGCGCTAACTTCCCTCCTCCTTTGCTATATTCCCTTAATGATAATAATAGTTATGGTTCTAACTTCTATTATATATTTGATCGCACATTTATTTACTGTACAAAAGTAATTGTATTTTCCCACAGGGTTGAAGTGTAATCTCTAAATTGCTTCATATGTGTGGGTTTTAAGACTCTGTTGCCTTTGTGTAATTGTTGTATTATTGTATTCCTTGTGTGTTTGTAATTATCCCATCGAACGAAGTTCGGAGGGATATAAGGAACGCCTCCGTCCATCTGTCCGTACGTACGTCTGTCCGTCCGAAGGGGAGAGTTTTCCGGCCGGATCAAAACGTTTAACCCACCTATGCGCAGTCTCAAGTCTGTGGACCCTGAAGAAAGATAAGTAACATCGCAATCAAATCAAGACAAAGAAAGAAGAAAATGAATGAAGAAACCAATGCAGCAACAACAAATGACGTCCGTCCGTCCGGGCAATAACTCAAATACCGTTGGCCCGATTTTGTTCATATTTTGTATACATATACCCTATGGGGGTAGAAGTTCTGCTCGAAAGCCGATTTTCAAAATGGCCACTCATTTCAAAATGGCGGCCATTTTAGTGCCGAATTTACAGTAATTTAGGTTCAATATGTAAATCTGTAATAGCAATATGTTTTAGATGTAAAAAAATTATATAGTACATTAATAAAGCTAGAAATGTAGATATTAAAGAAGCACACAGCAGCCATCTTGAAAAATGGCGGCCTTTACTCGTTATTTTACGATTTTTGCTGTAACTCGAAAAGTAGTGGAGCGATTTTGTTCATATTTGGTATGTGAATACTATAAACATTACACACTGTCTAAAGACACTTTTGGTAGAAGGCGGCCATTTTGAAAAATTTCCGCCATTTTGAAAAATGGCCACCATTTTAATGTATTTTACTCAAAAAGTAGTGGAGCGATTTTGTTCATATTTGGTATGTGAATACTATAAGCATGACACACTGTCCTATGACACTTTTGGTAGAAAACGGCCATTTTGAAAAAAAATTTGAAAAACGGCCGCCATTTTAACGTATTTTACTATAACTCGAAAAGTAGTGAAGCGATTTTGTTCATATTTGGTATGTGAATACTATAGGCATGGCACACTGTCTAATGACACTTTTGGTAGAATGCGGCCATTTTGAAAAATGGCCGCCATTTTAACGTATTTTACTATAACTCGAAAAGAAGTGGAGCGATTTTGTTCATATTTGGTATGTGAATACTATAAGCATGACACACTGTCCTATGACACTTTTGGTAGAAGGCAGCCATTTTGAAAAAAATTTTGAAAAACGGTCGCCATTTTAACGTATTTTACTATAACTCGAAAGGCAGTGAAGCGATTTTGTTCATATTTGGTATGTGAATACTATAAGCATTGCACACTGTCTAAAGACACTTTTGGTAGAAGGCGACCATTTTGAAAAATGGCCGCCATTTTAACGTATTTTACTATAACTCGAAAAGTAGTGGAGCGATTTTGTTCATATTTGGTATGTGAATACTATAAGCATGGCACACTGTCCTATGACACTTTTGGTAGAAGGCGGCCATTTTGAAAAAATTTTGAAAAATGGCCACCATTTTAACATATTTTACTATAACTCAAAAAGTTGTAGAGCGATTTTGTTCATATTTGGTATGTGAATACTATAAGCATGGCACACTGTCTATTTCTAATAACACTTTTCAACTGTAGAAGGTGGCCATTTTGAAAAATGGCCGCCATTTTAACGTATTTTACTATAACTCGAAAAGTAGCGGAGCGATTTTGTTCATATTTGATATTTGAATACTTTAAGCATGGCACATTGTCTAATAAAACTTTGGGGAGTAGTCGGCCATTTTGAAAAATGGCCACCATATATTTGCTATTCCTTTGTAAAAATGCCAGCCATTTCTGTTCGATGGGATTCGCTACGCTTTGGCGTTGCCGTTATTCTGGTTATTTATGTATAGAGATTATTTAATGAAATCCATATTCTTTCCAAAATATCAATAAACTATTTATTCCATGATTTTTCTTCCTAAAGCTAAATGTAAAATTTCCTCCAATGGCAAAACACATTAGATAGTGTCACAAACACTGATGTAATTTGTAATATTAATAAATCTCCTGCTTTATAGATGAATTATAATGAGGAGTTAAAAAACCTTGAACACCAACGAAATAAAATAGTGGATTGAATATGGGAATCATCACTATCACTATTATATGATTTTTATCAAGTCAATGCAAGCAATATCCGTACTTATTCTTTATGTTCGCTTGTGCTGATATTGATATCGATTCATTGATAAAAATGATATCACTCAAAATCATATGATATCACAAACCTTTGTACTATCACATTTTGACAACTACCAACTACCAGTTATATTAGTAGAATAAATATGAAGTGTAATACCTGGTGCTAAAAACCATACTTAATCCCAACCTAAAATACTAGTAACCTGTTGATTCCATAAATAATCTATCTGGCTATAGGAAAAATTACAATTGAACAACTGAAAACCAATTTGAAACAAATGCTCTTTATCACCCAGTAGAACCAAAAATCAGTAAAATTATTCAATCATTTTTTCCATAATGAATACAATTTTTTCATGTCTAACGGTATACATTTTTTGGTTATTTTTATTTATTATTCAATGGGAACACCAGTAGATACTCATTCTCAAACTCTATATGTTATGTAATTGAACAAATGAAAATAAAGAATGTCAAAAAAAATCAGGGATATCATGGAATAATTGTTTTGGTGTCGAATGTTGATTGCAATGGGATAATAAAATAAGAAAAATTGATCTTTTATGGAGTTGGACCAGAAAACTAAAATACAATTTATTGTTTCTTGATGTTTTGTAAATGCTAACCTCCAACCCTTTCATGTTTGATATACCAATTGTATAAAGTCAGTTCAGGATATGGGATTTATCCCTTTGAAATTATCCATATTCTAAACCTCCCAGTGCATAACCCTTGTTAATGTCTCCAGATATAGCCCATTCTGCCTCGGATCAGATCACGAATGCTGAGAATGAGCAGAAAGAGAAGGAGCAAACACACACATTTAAAAACTTCCCAACATCAGGAGCAGATGATGATGGTTCTGATTATGAAGGGGACAAGGCTGAGGTATGCAAACAATTATTTATTTGATTTCAACATGGTATTGTAGTCTAGTACACATATGTACAATACTGCTATTACCATGGAGAAGAATCTTTTTTACTTCATTATTTTAAGTCTCTAATGTTTGTCGAACAAAGTAGTGATCCAAGTAGCTAGTTCATGATACCCAACCAAACAGATAAGTCTTCATATTAGTCAGATTTATCAGTTTTGGGTTGTTTAAGCACTTTGGACCTGTTATTTTGGAGGTGTAACACTCTCAAAACTACTTAGTGTCCGAGTTTTCAGCAATGTTGACATCATTTGTATCACCTTTTGTAACCAAATTTTTTTCCATACTTTTCTTGAGAAAGGCGGCACATTAATAGTTATTATGTAAATAAATGTAAAATTACCAACTATAGAGCATGTTTTTGATACGAATAAATTTCCAAATAAATTATTCTATTTGAAAGCCACTATTGTTAACAATGGACATCAAATCTTCCTTATGGAAAATTGGCATGGGACTAACTCAGTATTCATGTGACATTCCCTACTCTGCATGAGAACCTCAATAAATGTAGCTTTACCCATTGCAGTTGCTGACAGGGGAGAAAAAGCAGCCATCTTTCTGGGCATTTGAATACTACCAAGGTTTCTTCGATGTGGATACATACCAGGTTCTTGGTCGGATCGGGGGATCCATGCTTCCACATCCAAAGAGGAACTTCCTAAGGTCAAAGATTCGACCTAACCCAGACTTATATGGTATGTGCCTACATAATTTCTGAAATCATGTTTCCTTTTATATGTAAATACAGGTACATGTATTTTATAATTATTTAATTCTTGGAATTGTATGTAAATATATTGTATGTTCTGTCTGAATACTCAATCTTTGGGTGGATGATTTATAAAGCGTATATGCTGTAGATTGAAGAAAAAAATCTGAAATTCTCAGAAATGAATTAAAAAAGGTTTCTTGGATTCCTAAGCATGTACAAACTTCTGATCACACATAAAACATTTTCTCATTACACATGTACTATATTGTCTTATTACACACATAGTATATTGTCTCATTATGCAATATAATTTGTTATTACACATGAAATAGCCTCATTGCCTCCTCTATTTCTCCAGGGCCATTCTGGATCTGTGCCACACTAACCTTCACTACAGCTATAGCTGGCAACCTGGCTGGCTACATACAAACAGCCTCAGCAGGCAATGACTACAAGTGGACATATGACTTCCATAAAGGTACAACTTCAGCTATGGGTACTGCGATAATCATTAATTTGGCGCTATTTGGAAATGTTTGGCCTTTATGTGATATTGATGCATATCTTAAGGTAGATTCTGATATCAGTTAGGGTCATGATTATTAGACTAATCAATATTTTAAAGTTGCAAATACTGGCTTATGAGCTTGTTTATACATGTACGTGTCTCATGTACAAAGTCTCTTTGTATGTAGATTCTGATATCAGTTAGTGACGTGATGATAAGACTTTTCGATATTAATTGCAAAAACTTGATAATGACTGCATGTATTTTCAGTTACATTTGCTGCTACTGCCATATTTGCCTACTGGTGGGTGATCCCTACGTTACTGTGGGCGCTGCTGCGTTGGAGGGGGAGTCAGGCTGGCTACACATTCCTGGAGATCATCTGTGTCTATGGCTATTCTCTTGCAATCTACATTCCAATCTCAGTAAGCTATACAGTAAAACCTGTTGTATCTCTTGCAATCTACATTCCAATCTCAGTAAGCTATACAGTAACACCTGTTGTATCTCTTGCAATCTACATTCCAATCTCAGTAAGCTATACAGTAACACCTGTTGTATCTCTTGCAATCTACATTCCAATCTCAATAAGCCATACAGTAAAACCTGTTGTATCTCTTGCAATCTACATTCCAATCTCTGTAAGCTATACAGTAAAACCTGTTGTATCTCTTGCAATCTACATTCCAATCTCAATAAGCTATACAGTAAAACCTGTTGTATCTCTTGCAATCTACATTCCAATCTCAGTAAGCTATACAGTAAAACCTGTTGTATCTCTTGCAATCTACATTCCAATCTCAGTAAGCTATACAGTAAAACCTGTTGTATCTCTTGCAATCTACATTCCAATCTCAATAAGCTATACAGTAAAACCTGTTGTATCTCTTGCAATCTACATTCCAATCTCCGTAAGCTATACAATAACACCTGTTGTATCTCTTGCAATCTACATTCCAATCTCAATAAGCTATACAGTAAAACCTGTTGTATCTCTTGCAATCTACATTCCAATCTCAGTTAGCTATACAGTAAAACCTGTTGTATCTCTTGCAATCTACATTCCAATCTCCGTAAGCTATACAGTAACACCTGTTGTATCTCTTGCAATCTACATTCCAATCTCAATAAGCTATACAGTAAAACCTGTTGTATCTCTTACAATCTACATTCCAATCTCTGTAAGCTATACAGTAACACCTGTTGTATCTCTTGCAATCTACATTCCAATCTCAATAAGCTATACAGTAAAACCTGTTGTATCTCTTGCAATCTACATTCCAATCTCCGTAAGCTATACAATAACACCTGTTGTATCTCTTGCAATCTACATTCCAATCTCAATAAGCTATACAGTAAAACCTGTTGTATCTCTTGCAATCTACATTCCAATCTCAGTTAGCTATACAGTAAAACCTGTTGTATCTCTTGCAATCTACATTCCAATCTCCGTAAGCTATACAGTAACACCTGTTGTATCTCTTGCAATCTACATTCCAATCTCAATAAGCTATACAGTAAAACCTGTTGTATCTCTTACAATCTACATTCCAATCTCTGTAAGCTATACAGTAACACCTGTTGTATCTCTTGCAATCTACATTCCAATCTCAATAAGCTATACAGTAAAACCTGTTGTATCTCTTGCAATCTACATTCCAATCTTAGTAAGCTATACAGTAAAACCTGTTGTATCTCTTGCAATCTACATTCCAATCTCAATAAGCTATACAGTAAAACCTGTTGTATCTCTTGCAATCTACATTCCAATCTTAGTAAGCTATAGAGTAAAACTTGTTTTTTCTCTTGCAATCTGCATTCCAATCTCAGTAAGCTATACAGTAAAACCTGTTGTATCTAAACACCACTGGGACTGGCCAGAAGTGTTTGGAATGGCAGGTGTTTATATTACTAGGTTTTTTAACATGGAAGTCTTTGGTTATGGTATATTGGACCGAAAAAGCATTCACATTGAGAGGTACTCAGATTCCAAGGTGTTTGGACATAGATTTTATAGTGGTTAAATCACTGGGAGATATTTTTGAAAAGTGGACATACAGCTCTTGACAGTGTATGTAGCAAGACTGACTTGATTTGAGATCGAGAACATTTTAAGAATCATTTGGGAACTTCAAATAATGAAAATAATATGCGTAAATGCCAGGGATTCAAAGAGTAGGCCTAGGCATTTTGTGTGCAATTTTTTCCAGAAATAACCTGACAGAACATCAGTCCAATGAATTTGCTTGTCAATTTGCTTACAACTTATAGCAATACAATGATGAATGGCAGTATGCTATCAAAATGTTATACATTTCTTATCAATTATGTTTTAGATTCTATGGGTTATCCAGGTCAACTGGCTCCAATGGCTACTAGTCGTTCTTGGTATGGTGCTCTCTGGCTCTGTGCTCATCTTCACCTTTTGGCCTGCAGTACGGGAAGATGACAAAAAGGTAGGAGTTTTATATGCTAACATTAAAGCGGCAGCAAAGAATAGAGAGTGTAAATATAGGAGATGGTCTGTTCGAAAAGTATGCCAGTGTTTCCTGACAATCCAAATTTTACTATCTGGAAAGACAATTGAAATATCTCATCATATATCCCAAGTTATTGAAGTTTTAAGATGCAGAAATGACAATTGGTAGGCCTGTTTTACAAAATTATTAGGTCTTTTCGCCTTCATAAATGCAAGACAAGAAATGTGAGAAAATATATTGTTAACTTTGACAATTTTTTGACAAAAGAATGCAACTTTAGTTGTAGATAGATAGAAATTTAAAAGCTATAAATGTTAAAATTATGTATATCAGCTAGCATTTTATTTCTCCAGTGCAACTGCAGCTATAAATTTACACGCACATAATATAGAATCAATTCCAGGTTTGGTTGTTTATATTAATTCCAAGAACTATTATATACTGCAATTTTAACTTTATATAAATCATTTATACATTTGTGTGTTTTTCTAGGTGGCCTATTCTACTATGGGTTTCATACTTCTTTTCCATGGCCTACTTGCAGTTGGATTTGTTGTAAGTAAAATATTGATTGTAAGAAGTAAAACATACCTGTCATATTTAAGTGAAGGAACAATGTTTTTAAATTTGTATGATACGATAATGTTAATTTTAAGCATTATCTTAAATACGTTTCTTGATTCTATGCATATTCGATTCTTTGAGTAGATGGAAGTAAAATTAAAAAGTCACACTTCATAAAATGTTGCAAGCAAGGGTGTGTTAATAGTCTATCATTAACAAAATCTAGAATCCAGAATCTAGTAAATGCAAAACTAGTGAGACTCTCGTGGGAAACCAAGATTTCAAATCGGACTGCGACAGCAGATTGAGGTCAATTGATGGCCAATTATAATGAAGAATTCTAACTAAGATTTTTTCCATCCGATCCAAATTTTCTGTTATCTTTTCTATTTCCATATACCTCATATAGGTGATAACATCTTGTTGAAATAGACAGTATGTATGGTATAGAAAAATATAAGACCTTTTATAGATGGCATAAGATTTGTTGTACCATTTAGCCTGTTCATTTCTTTTGATTTTTGCTTATTTTCAAGTTTCTACTTCTGTGATTAGCCATGGTCATAGTGAGGCATGAGGCAGGCGAGGCAAATGCCTCACCAAAATTTTACAGAAAATATCAATTGAGACGTTTTTCCTGCAATTGAAATTTTGAAAATGAAGTAATGATAGCGTTATTTTGCTTCTCAAACTTGCCTTTCCAAATAAAATTGCCTTGCCGAATTTAAGATCATGACTAAGCCCTTGTTAGCTAATTAAGTTACTTGTTCTATTTAGTTCTGAATTCTCAGTTTGGCTTTGAGAACATATATATTTATATATAATATAATCATAAAATAAAATCATTGAATTGTGGAGACTGCATGATTTGAGTGACTCAATATTAACACAGGCAACCATATTTTCCAGAATTAATCATACCCACACTGATACCAACTTACTGATATACTAGTATAGGAACCAGTGGATGCCATTAACTTTACATCACTTTCTTTCAGTTGTACTTCTTCCATGTGCCAGCTGTGGCTCCAGTAGTAGGACCTACTGCTCCACTGGTGCCAGAACACATTAAGAAACTCAATGACACTCCAACTCAACATTCTGAAGTGCCACAATCTGCTAACAGAGTTAATAACATTGTTAATATTCCCAATAAAATGAATGATATGGTGGCAAAGAAACCAGAGACAACTAATCAGGTGAACATTCAGAATGTTGATGCACAGGAAGTTACAGGTCAAAAGGCCCAACAGCAAACTATACCTGCAAAATCTGGGAGTGCTGTAAGTCAAGACAACATCAATAAGGGGACTACTAATGAAAAACTAAAAACTGATAAAAATAAGCCTTTACCAAAGAAAGAAAGATCTTTGAAAAAAGAAGCTGGGAGTAGCATTGTGAAAAAGTCAAATATTGAATCTCTGAAAACGTAACTGAGTGAAATTATTTTGAGTGTAACACTGTAAATATTTTCTTGATTTGTATGTAATTCTTGCATAGCCTTGCACATACTGTAAATATGAGAACGCGTATGGACGTACTCTTGTACAAATTAATGGGGATAATCATATAGGGGATAATCATAATAGGGGTAAAATCAGTACAACTATGGACTGTAATTTACAGATTACTTTTTCACAACATACATAATTTAGTTGTCTTCTTTTGTTTCTTTGATTAGTTTTTAATATTTCATACTGTACTGATGGGTTATTTTATTCATTGTATTATAAATATTTGATGAAATAAAATGTGCAATATGGACTGAGAGACTAATTGAATTCATTATGTTATCTCTTTTATTCCACAAAACTTGAAATGAGTCAGTCTGGTCAATAATTGGTTGGACCTATTTCCCCAGGGAGAAACCTATATATCCAAACAATATTTTTTTATGTGTTTTTTTATGATTTTTTAATTTTCTTATGTCACCACCAAAAAGTGGTGACATCTTGTTATGGTCTCCATTTTTGTGACGGCAGGCGACAGTTGGCGATCGGTAGTTGGCATCTGTAACAAGTCCAACAATAACTTAACAAATACTGTTAAATCTGACATCAAAATCATCTACAGGTTTTCAGAAGTTCAAATCTGACTTTAGATTTACGATTTGACTATCACTGACCTTCTCAAGGACAGAAAGGTTAAAAAAGGTCAAAAATCTTCAAGATCCTAGAAGTTCAAATCTGACTTTAGATTTGAGATTTCACCTTCAATGACCTTCTCAAAGTCAAAAAGGTCTTATTTCATCTTGCTTCAAATTGACCAATTTTTTCCAAAATCATCTACAAGTTCTCAGAAGTTCAAATCTGACTTCAGATTTGAGATTTCACCTTCAATACCCTTCTCAAGGTCAAAAAAAGGGTCTTTTTTAACTTGCTTCAAACTGACCAATATTTTTTTTCAAAACCATCTACAAGTTCTCAGAAATTCAAATCTGACTTAAGATTGAACTCATAATATTGTGAGCAACTAAGTGGTGACATTTTGTCATGTTAATGACTTGTTGACATTTAAAAATCATTGGGCTTTTATTTCAAGTATTTTTATTAAATCATTTTTATTAAAAAAGAGGTGTTCAGCTGGAACTATAATTTCGATATTGCATGTGTAACAGATCCAACAAAAATTAAAGAACCCATTTATATGGCATGTGCCATTTTCATAGCCAGAATGTCTTTTATGACTGCCGCAGTGCTTGGCACCAGTGTTCATACTCACAAAATTGTTACAATTTTATTTTATCATGTTTGCTTTGGTTTTCATTGTTAGTATCATTTTGGAGTAGCTAATTACGAGTACAATAATTCTTTGGATGCCACCATACTTATGATTTTATCACATGTCTGAGTTTCTGAGCACTGCGATTTGGTTAATTGTACAATGTGATAATACACATTATTACCACCTTACCGGGCCTGTTCTAGGGGTATTATATTAGTGCTAATTTAGAAGGCTTTCATTTTACTATATTGACCTGAGCAATATGTGACGTCATAGTGGCGGGCCAAAATTGATATTTCAACCCGCCAATGTTCCCTGGGAAATAAGATATCGTTTAGTGCGTATAATTTTCGTTCAGTGGCAGTCCATTCTTGGAAGTTCATTAAACAGTGGTAAAAATAGTAATAATGTCATTTCCTCAGGCAAAGTAGTGAAATAATGCACCTTAAGGACAGGGTGCATGTTGGGAAATTTTCTGCATTCCTCAATTGAGTCACATGTTATTTTTCAAACATGAATAACTCCTTCCCCACTTTGTCTACATCTTCCAAGTTTGCACAAAGAGTGCACTTCTGTGCCTAGAAAAGCCTTGTGAGAAGGTTTGTTTTGTAAAATTTATAAAAATGAGAAAATTCAGTGAAAAAAATTTCTGAAAATTTTCTGATTTTTTTCACTGAATTTTCTTGTTTTTTATACACTTTATCAAATCATTCTTCTCACAAGTGTTTTCTAGGCACATAAGTGCACTCTTTGTGCAAAACTGGAAGATATAGACAATGAAGGGAAGGAGTGATTCTTGTTTGAAAAATAACATGTGACTCAATTGAGGAATGCAGAAAATTTCCCATCATGCACCCTGACCTTAAAGTGTGCGCCCGACCTGGCTACGTATATAACAGAGTTTATACTGGCGGATTAGACTAGTTCATTTTTTATATGTGTGTGAAAGCTTTCTCTTATTTGCGTTTTTTTCGTTTAGTACGGTTTTGTTATAATTGCCGAGGTCATATAACCGGGATAAAACAATGATTATCGTTGACTGCGCACACACAAAACATTTACGTCGAGTGAACAGTGTTATTAAAAACAACAAGCTTTAGAATACAAAGCCCAGTAGTGTGATAATAAGCTGTACACTACCACTGCTGCATGTACATATTAGGGCTCATAAAGAGTGGATAGGGAGGTTGTGTTTGTCACTTTTAAATTTTACATTTCAAAATTGCCATTTTACATGTCATAATTTCTTGGTTTCATTTGTTTAGCCGATCAAAACATTGTAAAACAACAAATCGTCTGTTACGTATAATCAATTTTGTTCAGTTTTGATTAGTTGTCATAATGAAGTTACGTTCATCTGAATCCATGTTTCAAAACAAAAATCATATTTTCTTCACTTCAATCACGTTTGCAATAACTTATTGTCGTATTCGTTCTTTTATCTACTCGATAGAAGCACTTAGTCGTATATTTGATGCCAGGTCACCTTCTCGCGTACCTCTTGGGGAGCCCCACATTTGTGTCTGTACTCATGGAAGTAAATTCCCCGGTGTAGCCGAGAGCCACAAACTTTCAACAGGTTCGAAATGGCCAATTTCTCTCATATATACTCATATTTTATTAATTATCACCTACAAAGTATTGCTAATAACTATATGTAATTTCAATTAGGAAACTTATCTGGCTACATGTAAATTCAATATCAACACTAGATGTTCGCTCAACACGTCCTGGCTTACCTTGTGATGACAAACCCTGGGTTTTCGCTATTTATAGTTTATCAACACCTGGACGCATGCGCATTTTATAGTTTATCAGGCACTTTAATGGCCCTTGGTCCAAATTTCACTATACTGTAAAATGGGTAATATTGACACCGGTTTTTCAATTTTAGGGGGTTTTAGCGCGGGAAATTTTTAGAGAAATGAAGATTAATCTTTAAAAAATCAAATTAGCGAAATGCATTAGAAATTTTATCATTTATGGCAGAAGAATGAATAACGGACATGACAGAGGAATTATCAAAATGTAAGACTTCTAACGCACATGGTATTGGTCCAAACTGGATGGATGGCCATTTATCCTTCAGATATTGAAAGAAACATACGATTTAAAAATATTTACCTTTTTCAAATTACAAACCGGAAGTCGAGCACTGAACGAAAAGCTCCTTAAATACTAGTATTCATGTAGTTTCCCGGGAATTTGCAAATTTTAGCGCCCGGTTTATTTTGACCCCGGTTTATTTTAGCGAATTGAATTTTTAGCGAAACTATAGCGATCGCTAACAATTACCCCTCGCTGATAATACCCATTTTACAGTATTGCCCTTTGAAATAACATTATTGTACTATTATTAAATGGAATGAAAAAATAACAGACTGGTAGCAAGACTATGATATTTTGAAATCATATAGGCTCACTAAATAATTCAGTACAATTTCTATGCAGGGCTGTTTCAAGACATGTGACATAGTGTGACAGTGCCCTGTTTTCAAAACAAAACAACAGAGATGTCGAACAAAACAATAAATTCAAAACAAAACAACAGAGATGTCGAACAAAACAATAAATTCAATATATGTATATTTTATTCATATTTTGAATTCTTGATTTGGTAAGTATATCATTAGTATTTGTTAATGCAATTGTAGCATTACAGAACACATTGGAAATGTCTAAAGATTGAGTGCATGTTATTCAATAGAGAATTATTTCCCCTTTGTGGCTCATTAGTCGAGCAGAGGTGTATCAAATTACACTGAATATGAGATAATAAATACTAAATGCTCCCTGTCGCATATTCTAATTGTATCTACTGTTTATCGATTCTGCATATGGGGTTATCATAAACCATTTGTAAATCCACTTTTGGTCCAAACAATTCTCGAATGTTGTTCAGTTTATATTTTATCATTGTTGGCCTGAAAAAGATCAATTTTGGATTTAAATGTGCATTTCAAAAGTTTGCTTCATGTTATAAATAAAACATTTTGGAAATATAAGTGTCAAAAAATGCATGAAAATTAGGACAGTGCATCAGTGGTTGACTTTTTCAGATACATGTTTTAAACATAGCATTTAAACACCACAAAATGAAAATTTTACTTGTTCTTCACATTGTTTAGGAAGCTTGACCAAAAACCAAAAGTTTGAAAATACCTTTCCAAAGACAATCCCCATGCTATGACAGATACATCCTCTGGAAGTCCCATAGGTAACAACATCTCAGGCCGGAATATTCCAGAATTGCCAATCTCAACCCACTTCTTTAGACCTGGAACAATAAATCATAATACAAATTTTCTTAAAAAACTCTAAAACTACTGGTATTTGGGTTATCAAAGATTACATTTTAGTGGCAAATGGCAGACATTTTGATAAATAGCAGCCATCTTTAAAATTTCTTATCTGCTAGCAGAGCTCCTTTATTTCTAGGCAGCAGCACATAAAATTAATAACGTAAAATCTATCCACTGGTAATAATTATCAATGATTATTTCCACCTTGCCTGGCCAGTTCTAGGGGTTTTAGTGCTAGTTGAGAAGGCATTCATTTCACTATATCGACCTGAGAAATATGTGACGTCATATTGGTGGTCCATATGGACCGGTCTAGAATATATTCTGGACCGGCAATTTTCCCCGGGAAATTAGATATCGTTCAATGCGTAAGATTTTCTTGCTGTTTCAGTCCTGGTCGTTAACGGTGGTAATAATACTAATAACGTCATTTCTGCGAGCAATATAGTGAAATATTGGACCTTGGGCCTTCGGCCCTCGGTCCAATATTTCACTTTATTATGCACCTCATTAAAATACTCAATTCTGATTGGTTCTTAGTTGCTTGTAATTTGGCAATACTCTGCTCTTTTCTGAAAACTGCCGGATATTTTTTTAATATCTGACCCTTTCGAGAAAAAGGGTCGGATATTTTTTTCAATGTTTTTGCAACATTCCCACTTCAGAGTTTTATTTCTTAATAACTGGAGTACTACTTAAAGCTTACATCCGAAACTGGCGGAAAATAAAAGAAAAAATGCACTTAATCAATCACAATTACCCTTATCATTCAAAAGTTACATATAATTCTGCAAGAACGTCTCGAATAAATAAAAATTAAATTCCCGGGGCAAATATTTTCGTCCAGTGTAGCGAATAAACTGGCCGGAAGTCGTCTGAGTTTTGAAAGAAACTGAAATAAATAAATGTCAAAATAATGTCAACTAAACGACAGTTTAAAGGGAATGCGAAGTTTTGTCCCTTAAACTTGATAATAAGTTAGAATAAAGATATATCTTTCAATCCAACTTAGTTTTATTGTTCTATCATTATCCTTTTAATTGTTATTGAGCCCCGGGTTTTGCATATGAACTGGACCACGGAGCTGCCATTTCAACCGTAAAGTGGTTCTTTACGACATTGTTATGACGTCATTGATGCCAGATTGATGCCTTGGCATTCTAAAAGTTTTGTGGCGCCATTTTTGAATCAAAAAATGAATGCCGAGTTGTTGTTGCCATTCCAAAACCAAAGAAATCATTTCAAAGGAACTAAAAGAATACGTATATACCAACCATAATAAAGAACGATTTCAATAGAATATTAACGCCGGCATTTTCGGAATTGCTTTTTACCTATCTAGACATGGAATGCAGGTTAGATTTATTCTTTATTTACACTTGAAACAATCTGGGATTCGTGACTTTTTAACTTTTATTAGGTCTAGCGCTTAATGCGAACAGAGAATGCTAATTCTATCAGGCGAATGCAAACTATTAGAATAAAACATAATAAAATTAATTCAACCAACCCATCTTGAATTTCCAAGAATGCAAGAGTTTAATTTGCTAGTCTCATTACAAAAATACGTGTTCGTACTTTAATTTTCATTTCATTTATGTTTATCTTTAACACAGGTATTCAAAGAAATTAAAATTTTAAAATTAAATTGTAAAACCGTATTCAATTACTATCATGGATTCTTAGCCTCACGTTACATTTTTACGGGGACCGTACGGTCTATCATTTCTGTGGTAAGTAGGATTTCTACGGTTGTCTAGTATTTCTGCAGTCAGATAATTTAGCCTTCTCTTGTCATGATCTAAGGTGAAAATACCATTGAATTTTGAAAAGCTTTTTTTTGTCATATCGAATGTCGCTACGGTGATATGATGATTGAAATTGGTCGTTTAACAACTGAGAAAAATTAAACATTACGTATTATTCTTTGAAAGTATGACAGTGGCATGTCCTTGTAAAGCTTTTGCCAATCTTAATATTTAGGAGATTGACATTTACATACGTATCATTTAGACGACATCGATTTTTTGTTTTTTTGTTTGCGTTTTTCATCAGAATTTAAATGGCTAAACACTTTAGGGAGTTACTGTTTCATTGGATTACTACTTTTTGTTTTGTTTCTTTCATTCTCCAATATGCCCCTATTCATGCACCTATACATATTTGAATAGAATACTACAGATTGAAGAAATCTACCATTTATGATTAGGTAAGAAAGCAATTGCTAATTGCGGCAGTATGCCTATTTGCCGACGTATACCTTAAGGTTAATAATGATGTGCCGTAAATGCTCATCAGCGCATTAATGAACATTAGCATAGATTTTGATATTTTAAATGGTATGTCGTGTATTTACATAAATATAGTAAATGCAATTATTTGTTGGATGCGTTCAGCCGAAGATATAACTTACATGTACTTATTTTTACCACAAATACGCCAACACATTAGCCACATTAATCTTAGTTAAATAAATCCCAATTGATGCACAGTAACGCATTTATGTACCCTTTGCATTCGTTTGACTTCACTTCTTAAAAGAGAGCTTCGTCTTCAGTTTAGACTCTGCACGCAGGGTAGCATTTATGTGTAAATGCCATTTTGTATATTTTAATGCATTTACCTCATTTATTGGTAAAATATACAAGAAAGCATTTACAGGATTTGAACAGATTTATCCTTTTTTGACCCAGTGTTATCATTATATAAAATGATTCTAGTGGATATTTTTCAAGTGGAATATAATGCGATGACTTCCGAATCGCGCAGCCGATATCTCATAAGTTTAGTGATTTTTTTACCTAGCCTATATATACTATATCACATTGGACAAAATAAATACAAACATTTGAAAAATTACATTGCAACAATTCAATTGCTATGAAGAATATATTGAAACAACTTTTCCAAATATATGATATGATATGGACATGAACATGCGGCAACAATGTTAAGCGGACAGAAATAGTTATAAAATATCAGTGAAATGTGTTCTATTTCTGCGATCCGAGTATGACGTGATTATATAGCGACATTTCCCAGGCATCAATTTTAAGGCATCAATGACGTCATTGATACATAACAATGGCGGCATCCGCAACGATCCAGATATGGGTACTTTGAACTTGAATTATATGTTAGTTCAAATGGGATATGTCCCATGAGTGAGCTGAAGTGATAGATGATGGTTATAAGTAGCCAGCGTGTAAATTAGAACATGAAACTTCGCATTCCCTTTAAGCCTGTACTCCAGTAAGTACTCCACTTAACTTTGATTGGGAGGTGCATAATAAAACATGTGCTCAGCTGCCGCCTCGCCCAATATTTTTTCTCGAATAGGTTTTCAATTTTTTTCAATTTTGAAATTGAGCTGCCATCTTGAAAATCCCTTCTCAAGCAGAGGTCATATGTCCCTAGGTATCAACATATAAAATTTGAACCAAAATGTCTTCATATACTAATAAAACTTTGTAAATTTTTAATCGAGGCTGGGCAAAAAATGTACTTAAATAAATGTTATTTTAATGTTTGTTACTGTATTAGTTAAGTTTGTCTTTTGTACTCTTATACCCTATAAGGGCTGAATTGAGAAATCAATAAATAAAAAATCAATAAGTTGAGCAGAGGCAAAAATGCACTAATACGAGTAGTTTCAAAAATTAATGTAGTCCTAACACAATTGTGATCATGACGAGTCAGTAAGCTAGTATGTAGGTACAGTTGTCATCTTTTTGCAATGATAACATGCCATTTCTTCTGAAAATGCGTTTATTTGGGTTATCTGAACAAAAATTTTAGTCAAGTGGCATATTAATTTTGGCTTCATTTTTGTGAATTTCAATTTCTGGCGGCAGAGAGAGAGGGAGACCAATTATTTCAAAAAGTAGATGTTTGACCCCTATTGAGTTTAGTGTCAAAATGTAGCCTAGACATCGCTTTTGAACCTCAAATAGGCTAGTGGGGCCACATGAATCCATAACTCTAGATAAAAAAATCAGAGTTCAACCCTTTGCCCATTAACTAGTATGGTGACGTGAATTAGGGCTGTTTTGCCAGAGCTCCTTTGTCTCTAGGTATCAGCGTGTAAAATTTGAACCAAATCCTTCAACTGGTATTTGAATTAACAAAGATTATGTTCTTTGACGAAAAATGGTCGCCATTTTGAAATTCAGCTGCCATCTTGAAAATGACTTCTTGAGCAAAGCTCCTTTGTCCCTAGGCAACAGCATAAAAAATTTGAACCAAATCGGTCGACTAGTATTCCAGTTATCAAAGATTACATTTTTTACGAAAACGGTGGCCACTTTGAATTGAGAGACCAAAGTGAAAATTCCTACACCCAAAGGTCATAAGCCTTTAAAGTGTGCGCCAAAGTTTAAAACTGCGCAGGCGCACCGCTCTCGCTAAACTATATAAAGAGATTACCAGGTACACGATTCAGAGGTAAGCCAGGAAGGCGAACGATCTTCGTCTCGTGATGATTTCCCATATAATCGTAACCAGGGAAGCTTCACCATTGAAATTGAAAATTACTATTAGATATACTTTGTAGATGTTATTTATGAAGCTATTTAGTGTTTGCATCAATCAAATGGCTCATTTTGAACATATAAAAAGTATTTGTGTTTTGTTTCCCATGGAATTGTATTGTATGTAGCACACACATAAATAGTGTACATTATACAGTACTTGAATAGCCTGGTTTACATAATATTGAAGGGCATGCTGATTACATGCACACGAGTACATGAATGAAGGCCTAATATTGATATACGTAGCTTGCATACCTAAATAAAAAATAAACTCTTCTAATCCCCTAATGTAAACACGGCGGTATACGTAGCCCGATTTATCGGGGACTTTAACAGTTTAAGATTTGAATCAAATCCACCTGCAGATATTTGAGTTATCACTCGGACAGACAGACGGATGAACGAACAGATGGCTTCTCTATATCCCTCTCGAACTAAAATATACCCAGCAGCAAATGTGATTATTAATCTACTAACAGAAAAATGTTATGGTACACGACTCAAACAAGCCCCTGGAGGCAAGATGGAAACCCCAGGCCAATAAACTAATAGACAGATATATCCTATTATCAAGCCTAATAAATGTATCCTGTTATCTTCAAAACAGTTGGCAGTAATTTAGAATAGTTACAAGTTTCCTCAAGTGTATGATACCAACAGGATAAAGTATACCAACAAAGAACCAATTTATTTATTATTAATTCAATCAAAAAATACTTATTGAATTTAAATTACAGTAGTGCACTGGGAATTATACTGTAAAAAAAACAACAACTTTGTATTTATATATTTATTTATTTATTTTTTATTTATTTATTTATTGATTTCTCAATTCACCCCTTATAGGGTATAAGAGTACAAAAGACAAACTTAACTAATACAGTAACAAACATTAAAATAACATTTATATACATGTAAGAACATTTTTTTGCCCAGCCTCGATTAAAAATTTACAAAGTTTTATGAGTATATTTTTGTTTGAATTCATTAATTTCTCAAACTTCTGTGTGTTTGGTCTTGTGGTATAACATTTAGGAAGGTATCTTTTTCTAATATAACTTAAAGCTTTGCATTCTAAAATGACATGAAATTCATCACCTATTCCTTTACCACATAAATCACAAAACCTATTTTCCCTAGGAATATTTTTATAACGTCCTCTTTCAACTGGAAGTTTATTATTACACAATCTGTACATAATTAGAACTTTTCTATATTTATCTGGCATACAGTCTAAATACTGTTCAAATGAAAATTCTGTTTTAAATATTTTATAGTTGTAACTTTTACTACTGACTTTCATGTCACTATTCCACTTTTGTAAAAACTGATCTTGCATCCTTACTTTTACTTTTTTGATAAACTCTGCATAACTAACTGACTTTGGATTTATCCAAACATCTGACATGCCAAGATTGTTTAATGTGTTTTTCACATAAGTAAACCAATTTGAGGAAAATACATTTCTGTCATACATATTTTTACACAATTTGTACATTTTTTCACTCATCTTTAAACTGTCAGAGCTACTTGTTGCTAATTTATACCAAAATTTCAAGATACATGTGTTAGACTTTATATATAGAGGGAATCTACCAAGTTCCCCATAAACCATATAGTTTGGAGTTGTTTTCTTGACCTTAAGAATATATTTTAGAAATTTAAGATGTAGTTTTTCGATCAGTTTGTTATTTGTCATTCCCCATATCTCGGCACCATACATTAATATTGGCAGAACTAGGGTATCAAATAAATGCAACTGTGTTTTAAGAGGTAATGCAAATTTGTTACATCTACTAAGAACTGAAAACATTGCCTTTTCTGCTTGACTATACAAATGTTTCATATTTAAATTCAAACTACCTTTGCAATCAAAAAATACTCCTAAATATTTAAAGTGAGGTACATTTTCAACTACACTGCCATTAAGGGTAATGTTATCAGTTCTTTTTAATTTTTTCCTACTGATGATCATATATTTTGTTTTGTCAGTATTAATTTTGATTTGCCATTCATCACAATACTTTTCTAGCGAAGAAAAGGCATCTTGTAGTTTATTTTTACTATTGGCAAAGATGACTGTGTCATCAGCATAGAGCAAGACAAATAATTTTAAATATCCATCTATTTCATTTCCAACATTAATCTGATTGCAATTATTTTTCAATAAATATTTCTCGACATCATTCAAATATAATGAATGCATCAGTGGAGAAATACTATCTCCCTGTCTCAATCCACAGAGTATCTCGAAAAATTCAGACTGATTACGATGTTTGTCAATAATACAACTTTTCATATTTTCATACATGTTTTGTACTAGTACTAAAAATTTCCCTTTTATCCCATACATTTTAATTAATTTTAGCCATAGTCCATCATGTCGTATTCGATCAAAAGATGAGGAATAATCAATGAAACCACAGTACAGCTCCTTCTTTGAGTGTAAAAATACATCAATTAGGCATTTTAGGACAAAAATGTGGTCAACAGTACTGTGTAATTTACGGAAACCACATTGATTTTCATCTAGTAGTTGCAGGTCTTCTACAAAAGAGGTCAGTTTATTGTTCAGAATAGTAATGAATAACTTTCCAGCGCAACTTAGTAGAGTAATCCCTCTGTAGTTTTGGGGGTTGTTCTGGTCACCTTTGTTTTTATAGATAGGTTTAATAAGGCCTAGTAGCCAGTCTTGAGGTACCTCACCGGTATTCAATACTTTATTGAATAAATTCACCCATATGTCTATAAGAATGTTTTTACTATATTTAATATATTCATTTAAAATGTTATCTATCCCACACGCTTTACCATTTTTCAGTTTATTAATGGCTTGAAATACATCATCCCTTGTGATTTCACTGTTTAGAATATCTAAGTTAAGTTTGTGTGCAAAATCATCTTTATAATGTTCGTCAATTTCGTTTTCACTCATGTTATTTCCACTGGTTTGGGGCTTATAAAGTGTTTCATAATATTCCTTCATAGTATCTAAACTTACTTTTAATAATTCGTCTTTAGATCTACTGGGATTTAAAATGTTCCAGTATTGTTTACTATTACTGCGTTTTAGGTCAAATAACTTAGAGTTGAGACGTTTTAAGTAATCACGTTTTGCTTTAATGCGTTGTTTTTTATACTGTTTATTTTTCCTAATCATATCTTCCTTATCTAGCATATTTCTCGTTCTCATGTATCTATTTTTTGCTGAATTGTATATTTTGCGTTTATTTTTACAACTATTGTCAAACCATTTGTTCTTTATTTCAGTTGCATTATTTTCATGGATTACTTTGAAGCTTTTCTTTAAGTTCGAGCTTATAGCTGCATCTAAAATACACTTCTTTAGCTTCACGTTGATTCCTTCTACTGATGATCCCTCATCTTGTAGTAGGGAAGTTATTTCATCAATTTTTCTAAAGTCAAGATTTTGGCTAAAAGTCTGTGCTTCTTCTTGCTTCCAGATAAATTTATAACTATTTTTTCCATTGGTAATGTCATCTCTATCAGATTCATTGAAATTATCAGAGGTAGACTTTACTGTAAGGTTTAAAAAACAATGTACATCAGAAAAGTCAGGTGAGAAATCTTGGATATAAACAGAGTCAATATTACCTAATAATCGTGGAGATGCAATAGCATAGTCAGTAACTGAGCCTTTCCCTTTAACACATGTATTTAATTCACTACATTTACCAAATCTACCATTTGCAATGAACAGGTTATTTGCTTTACAGAGTTGCAGTAGTCGATTACCATAATTATTCACTCTGTGTGTGTCACATGATATTCTTTCTGTTTTAATACCATAGCTTTCAAGGTCACCTACTGAGTTAAGAAATTGTACCATTGATAAATCAGCATTCACCGAATTTGCAAAATGTTTATCAATATAAGTGTAGTCTTTTAACACACTTGTGTGTGAATTAAAGTCACCCAAAAGACATATTTCCTCATTATCGTTTTGATATGAGAGCATCTCTCTTTCAATTTCATCAAAAGATTCAACTTTGCTATATAAACTTCCCTCTGGAGGTATATAGACAGCACCAATGAGAACATTAAAACCACATACATTTTCATCAAGTCTTAACCAAAGAACATATTTACATTTTGTTTGAAATATCTTCAAAACTTTTTTGAATTTCTTTTTAACACATATTAAAATACCACCGGAATTTTTTATATTGAGTTTTTTCCTGTTCTTGGTAAACACAATAAATCCAAGTTCTTCCAGGGTGTGGGTTATGTTGATTTCACTGATTTTATCTAGTTTTGTTTCAGTTACACAGATAATGTCATGTTTTAGCAACTCCTCTATGAAATCAGGATTGTCTAGTTTCGAGGACAGTCCACATACGTTGATGTGACTCAATCGTAATTGAGACTGGGAAATGTCCTAGGCCCAAGAGTCACTATTTACCCTTCCTCTTCCTCAAAGAATAGTTTGCCAGGAGTAGTCTCTGTTAGGATTTTACTTCATTTTTACAGACAAAAAACAAGAATCGTCATCGTATTAGGTTCACAAATGTTTTGTAGTTTTTGTACTGGGTGTCTGTTAAACCATTGCTTACACCAGGAACACTGAACTTACAGTTATCAAACTTTGCAGAACTAACCACGGAAAGTAGGCTCAAACAGGAGATAAGGCTCAATTATAACATCAAGGACTTTCAAATTAAAGCCCATGGGCTATTAACTCAAGAGAAATGATCAGTTTTGTGGTCAACAAGTCAGATCAGCTAAACACCTCTTAAACATTGGGAATCTCTTCTTATTTTTCTGTTTTGTAACAGCTTTTCATACAAAAACTTTTATTTGACTTATATGGCCTCCTCAAGGCTATATAAAATTTGGACATATTTTTCTAGAAATAAATACAGAAATGCTGGTCTCTACCTTCATGATAACTGAATATTTCCATGCTTGGTTCTGTGTATGGGTTGTAAGCGGGCTTGAAACGCAGCTTTGTGATTCCTGAAACATACAAGATAGAAAATACACATGTGAGTAACTGACTTGAAAATACATGTGGTGAACAATTTAAAACATGGCAGGAAACACAGTGAGATTTGGATGTCTCAAAATGGCAATTAAAAGGTGTCCAGATTCTAAAATGAAATTCTCTGTTTATTTCTAAATGTAATATGTCACACAATTTAAAATGCAATGAAGGAATTATCCTTATGGTATCAAAGAACTTTAAAAACATTTTTATTTTGAAATGTTCCCTTTTTAATGATAAAGTCTACATGTAACTTTCCATATGTTATACCTCTGCTATAAAAGTTAAAGAATTTTGACATTTTTGCATTTTAAATCCTCAATTCCAATGAAATGTTCAGTTATTTCAAATCTTTTTAGATATTAAAAAATAAAATTATCTTTTAAAACATTAATTCAACATTTTAAACTTTATTTACTTTACTGACACATATTTGATCTGTTTACAAAACCATATAATAAACAGAATGCTAAAAAGAATGCACACACTTAATGTGTAATCGGAAACAACCTTTTACTACAAGTCTAATACTTTTACAAAACAATCAAAAAATAATTTTGAAAATATACAGTACTCTTTAATAATGTTTATACTACAAATATTAGCACTTGGCATTATAATATGTGTTTCAGAAGTATCTCACAATCAGAATCATATGGATTATGGAAATATTCCAGAGTAACATTTGTGAATCATTAAATACAGGAAATAAATGTCAGAAAATCTAATAATCTTGAGAATTATCAAATTATAAAGGAAAAGGAAAAATTACCTAACATGGTGTCAAAAGATAATTTCATAATCTCCAATAACAGCTGATAACCAGATTAATATGCAAAACCCCATGTTAAATCAGCTGCCAATTATTTTTTCACTGACTTCCCCAAAAACAGAAAAATTATCCAAGAAGAGACTTTATGGAATGAGTCACATATAGAAAGTCTGATGTTTTTCATGTATAAAAAATAGCAGCTCAATAATTATCAATTTTCATTATTTGTTTTGTGAAAAATGCCAAATTAATATGTCATCATTACAACAAATAAACAATATTTACCATGGATTTCATAAATGTACATACCAAGTTTTTTGAAGAAGGCATGTATGACGCCCATGAGATCCCCCAGGGTGAGGCCATAGTCTGCCACCACCCCCTCAACCTGGTGAAACTCAGCCAGATGTGTTGCGTCGAGTGTCTCATTGCGGAAAACACGGTCTATTGAGAAGTACTTTACTGGAGTGAATTTTTCCTGGAAATATTGAAACAGTTATATGTACACAAATATCGACTAAAATGGATAAACAAAGGGATTGGAACAAAAGTATCATTGAGTTATTTTTAAATTAAAATTTGCTTTCTTTTAAAATGAAATTTTACTCTCAGTCAGTCCCAAAAGTAACCTGTGACAATGTTTCAAAATTCTATAAAATTTAATTTTTACTTAATTAAAATATAAGAAAATACAATGGAAATTAGTGCCACAGACTTCAGCCAGTAATCTTGAACATGAACATGAATATGAGTACATGTATTTTTATTCTGACCATGGAATCAAATCTGTCTTTTAGGGCCACTAATTATCTCAATGAAAAGAACACACAATGGCAACAAAATGTCACCCCCTGGTAAGTTACTGCAAATGGTAACAATAGTGAAGCTTACAGACACCAACTGCTTAATGCTGATGCCAGTTAGCTATAACAATATGTCACTTCTTAGTGGTGGTGGGGATTATTGCCACTTGCTTAGTTTAGGGTTAGAATACTCTCTATCATGCTAAGGTGTAACTTTAAATAAAAATACAAACCAACAATTTTTTGCACTCATGTATATTTCAAGACAGCAATATGAATAATATTAGAAAAACTGAAACAATTGCAATTTACATCAGTCACATATCATCAATGTCTAATATAAGTGGAATTACCAACTTAAGAACAAGACATTAACGTGACAAAATGTCACCATCTAGTTGCTCACAGTATTATGAGTTCAAGAGTCATGAAAACTTGTGGATGATTTTGAAAAAATAAAGAGGCAAGTTGAATAAAGAGGCAAGTTGAAAAAGGGCATTTTGGACCTTTTAACCTTGAAAAGGTCGGAGAAGGTCAAGTCTTAATCTAAAAATCAGATTTGAATTTCTGAGATCTTGTAGATGATTTTGAAAATAATTGGTCAATTTGAGCCAAGTTAAAAATACCTTTTTGCCCTTTTTAACCTTGAGAAGCTCATTGAAGGTCAAATCTCAAATCTAAAGTCAGATTTGAAATTCTGAGAACTTGTAGATGACTGTGAAAATAATTTGATCAAATTGAAGCAAGTTGAACAAGTTGAAAAAAAAACGTTTTTACCTTTTTTTACCTTGAGATGGTCATTGAAGGTCAAATCTTAAATCTAAAGTCAAATTTGAACTTCTGAGAACTTGTAGATGATTTTGAAAAAAATATTTGGTCAATTTGAAGCATGTTGAAAAAATACCTTTTTGCCCTTTTTTGATCTTGAGAGGGTCATTGAAGGTCAAATCTCAAATCTAAAGTCAGATTTGAATTTCTGAGAACTTGTAGATGATTGTGAAAAAATTGAAGTCGGTCTAAACAGTATTTCTTAAGTTATTGGAAGTTTTTAGAATTGTTACAGAACCCGAACGCCAACCAATAACCGCCGCCACAAAAAACGGAGACCATAACAATATGTCAACACTTTTGATAGTGACATAATAAACCAGATTTCTTTGTCTTTTTGAAAACCAACATTTTGTTTCACACAATATACATAATCATATAATATGTGTAAGTTATGAAGAATATTCGATTTAACACAACACAATATGATTTGTTAAGATTATCCCCTTCACCCAGAAAGAAAAAGTGCTAGTTCTAAACAGTACACGTACGTCCATCCATAAACCTTTATCATTAAGGCAATATTCATTTGATTATTTCCAAGAATTATCCATTGAATACCTCGCTATATTCCATGTCTGTGGTGTCATATTCTTCCAGTGACATGAGCAATTACATTAAGATCATATTACTACAGTAGTTTTTAATGCAGCTTAGTATTCACTGGTAATTACAATATTTCTATATGCATCAATGTAATTATTTTAGTCACATGGTATGTGAATGACCAATGAGAGAGTGAGAACCACAACATGGAAACAATAACATTGAATATCTCTAAAATGCAACTTGCAATATCAATTATCAGATTTCTGGTTACGATATCTAGAAAAATTCAATTCTTAGAATCAAACTTCATAATTGGGAATACAATTACATCAGTTACCAAGTCGCAATGTTTCTTTCTGTTTGTAATCAATTCTTCACTTTGCGAACCAGAGTCACTTTATCAGTCTCTTTATGTTTGGTCTCATCAGGGACTGGGTCTCCATCCACTATTTCTTCATCTTTCTTATTAGGTGGCATTACAAAGTTTCTCCAATTACGTTTGTCAACTTTGTTACTCATACCATTGCGTTTTGCCCCAATAACATAGTCTCGCCAATTACGTTTGTCAAATGCCTCATTTTCCTTACTTCTTTTAGGCCCCATAACAAAATCTCTCCAACTGCGTTTATCGATCGTTTCATCTTCCTCGGCATTTTCATTCCAGTTTCGTTTAGATCCCATTACGTAGTCCCTCCAATTACGCTTCTCAGGGATCTCACTATCATCATCTAAATGCCTTTTAGCAGACATCACATAGTCTCGCCAGTTCCGTTTTGCTCCCATGACATAGTCTCTCCAATTACGCTTGTCTGTATCTGTAGTCTCCTCATCGAAATCTTTTTTCAAAGGCATGCCACGGGTTGGCCAATTACGTTTTGAACCCATAACAAAGTTTCGCCAATTACGCTTATCTGTCATCTCATCATTTTCTTCTTGTCCTTCCTTGGAATTTCTTTTCTCCGACATAACATAGTCTCTCCAATTTCGTTTTGATCCCATAACATAGTTTCTCCAATTTCGCTTTTCAAGTGTCTCATTTTCAGTGTCATTTTCTTCTTCAGAAGAGTTAAGCAAGTGCCCTTTCTCAGACATTTCATAGTTTCTCCAATTGCGTTTGGATCCCATGACATAATCTCGCCAATTTCGCTTGTCTAATGACTCATTTTCATCTCCATTTTCTGTCTCAAAATTTCTTTTTGCATTCATTACATAGTCTCTCCAATTGCGCTTGGATCCCATGACATAATCTCGCCAATTACGTTTGTCTAAAGATCCATTTTCATCTCCATTTTCTGTCTCAAAATTTCTTTTTGCATTCATTACATAGTCTCTCCAATTGCGTTTGGATCCCATGACATAATCTCGCCAATTACGCTTGTCTAATGACTCATTTTCATCTCCAGTTTCTGCCTCAGAATTTCTTTTTGCATTCATTACATAGTCTCTCCAATTGCGCTTGGATCCCATGACATAATCTCGCCAATTACGCTTGTCTAATGACTCATTTTCATCTCCAGTTTCTGTCTCAGAATTTCTTTTTGCATTCATTACATAGTCTCTCCAGTTGCGTTTTGAGCCCATGACATAATCTCTCCAATTACGCTTTTCATTTGTCTCATTTTCAGCATCATTTTCTTCAATAGAGGAGTTATCCAAGCTCCTTTTTCGTATCATACGTTTACTTCCCATGACAAAGTCTCGCCAGTTACGCTTGTCTGCTATTTCACTATCATGTTCATTGTGACCTTCAACATTATCTCTCTTAGAACCCATAACATAGTCTCTCCAATTGCGTTTTGAACCCATTACATAATCTCTCCAATTGCGTTTCTCTAATTCCTCATCTCCCTTCTTTGCCATTACAAGGTCTCTCCAATATCTTTTTCCACTAGGTCCCATAGCATAGTCTCTCCAGTTGCGTTTTCCACTTGGTCCCATCACATATTCTCTCCAGTTCTTTTTATTTTCTGGGCCCATAACATAGTCTCTCCAATACCTTTTCTGGGCCATGACGAAATCCCGCCAAGAGCGTTTCTCAAGAGGTTTCAGTTCAGACCACAATTTGAGCATAGATTTAAGGTGGAGTCCCTCTTTTCCATGCACTCTGCTGTCATCAGAAGCAAGAGATGCCCCACGGCCAGCATCAACTTTGTCCCATGGGTATTCATTGGAGTGTGAGTCAACTCTACTAGGTGACCGCTTGTCACGAATTTCAGAAGACGCTTTAATGTCATCATCATTGAGTTTGTATTCCTTTGCCAATGTCCCTACTGTAAAGCACAGCAACAGTAATTTTAAAATACTTTTGCACTCCATGTTAGTTAGTTTCTTCCAAAGTTTCAATGTTTTAAGTGTTCTCTGTTCTGCTACCCAACTGCCGAATAATTCCAAATCATAAATTGTTGTCGCAAATTAAATTATCAGTCAAACCTGCGTCACACTTTAATTCAATAACAATGACGTTAGCAACGTGTTTTTATTTCCTCGTAGTGTGATAGCAATTGATGCCGTGTTTAATATTCCATCTCCTAGGTGATCATATTCTTCTTCCAATTATACCCTGGGTGAAAGATTAATCCACTTAGTGGAACAATAAAGCACTTCAATAACCAATGTGTGGCACTATGAAGTCAATCAAATGTTATGTTTGCAATAAGCATCTCTGCGCATCAATATTATCTTGTAAATTATTAACAGTATTTCGAAAAACAATTGTGATAGACTAGACCCGAATGACAAAAGTCATACAAATGCATTGTTATATTTATAGATAATTGATACTTTCATAAACCTTTATATTCTATTCACTTCTTTTCTAGATAAGTAGAATAAGTACAAAAATATTTTCCGTGAGAAATAAACCCGTATAGAACACTTATATATGAATCCTTGCATCAAATCCAAATGATTATATTTAATTCCAAAACCTCCATTAATCCATTATATATTTACCAAGACAAAGGTCATATATATATAAGCAATAATATATATTCATTTTACTACTAAAAGTTTCATTTGAATATAAAATAGAATCAAGGTGTATACTTTGGGGAATTTAACACACTTAGAGCTCGTCTCAAAAGACTGCTGAAAAATAGGAGCTCATTCACGTAATTAAATCAGAAAAATTAGAAAAAAATTCATTCACATTATTAAATTAAATACTCAAAGGATCATAATTTCTTATTTTTCAATTGACTTAATTGACAGTTAAGAGAGTGCTCATGTGATTATCATCTGCAGTTTGTATGTTGCATGATTGGTAGTTCATTGATTGAATTCAGAATAGACTTTTGTCTCAAAACTAGAAAAAAACAGCAACTCCACGGAGTAGCAAATCCCACCGAACAAAACATATTATGCTTATTATAGCTAGTGTAAATGTTGAAATGTTTGTGCACTTTGTGATAGAAGCATGAAATTTGGCACAAAGTTAGTTTATACCATTGTGAACTAGGCATCATCATATAAAATTTGAACCAAATCCGTTCACAGGTATATGAGTTATCAAAGATTACGTTTTTTACGAAAATTGGCTGCCATCTTGAAATTCAGCCGCCATCTTGAAAATTATTTCTTGAACAGAGCTACTGTGTCCCTAGGCATAATCTTATAAAATTTCAACCAAATCTGTTCACTGGTATTTGAGTTATCAAAAATTACGTTTTTTACGAAAAATTGCCGCCATTTTGAAATTAAGCGGCCCTCTTGAAAAGTTTTTGTCGAACATAGCTACTGTGTCCCTAAGCATCATCATATAAAATTTGAACCAAATCCGTTCACCGGTATTTGAGTTATCAAAGATTACATATTTTTACGAAAAATGGCCGCCATTTTGAAATTAAGCGGCCATCTTGAAAATCTCTTTTTGTGCAAAACTCCTTTGTCCCTAGGCATCAGCATATAAAATTTGAACCAAATCCGTCAACTTGTATTTGAGTTATCGATTACATTTTTTACGAAAAATTTGAATTGAGCGGCCATATTGAATATTCCTTCTCGAGCAGAGGTCCTACACTCATAAGGCATAAGCCTATATTTTGAACCAAATCCGTCAACCGGTATTGGAGTTATCGCCTGGACACTCTATATCCCCCTCGAACTTTGTTCGGTGGGATAACAACTCAATAAAACTTCATGAATTTAAGTCAGTATCAAGGGTCGTTTTATGTCCTCCCTCAAATCGGATTCAAAACTGTCCTCATTATGCTAGGGAAGAGTTCACTGTCATACCAACCATTAGGATGGAACTTTGTCTTGCACCTACTTGATAATTACAAAATAACAAGTCTAGATTAAGATCTCAATTGCAGCATGGAATTACAAAATACTGTGATTATTCTTACCATGGTTAAGAATCATTCACTAAGTGACCCATATGGCCAGGTCTAGGCTAGCTTCTAATATTCAAAGTTAATGATGCAAAACATATTAAGGGTCATTAAGCAATGGAAAGGACGATTCTCGGTTTGGAGAACAGTCTCCTGGGCTAATAATTTTTTTCATGAAAAATATAGAAATATTACCCAAATTAAACTATTAATATTCAAAAGAGGACATTTAAATCTACAAGATGTAAAAATAACAAATTGGTCTGAAGCAGGGATAACGCTCAATTTGACCGATTCAATAAAATACAAGTCTCGAATTGGGGAAAGAAGTTCATCAGTGTACTGCGCTAATATTTTTTTGCGAAAAATCTAGAAATATTACCCAAATTAAATTATGACTATTCAAAAGAAGACATTCAAATCTATATTATGTAAAAAAAATCAAATTTGTCCGAAGCAGGGATAATGCTCATTTAGATTGATGAACTTCGTTCTCCAAACCGAGAATCGTCCTTTATCCAAAATTATCTCTTGAAAGCCCATGCCAAAGTATATGGAAATAATTCCCTCGCAGTTTTTAAATAAAACTGTGAAGATGGAGCCTCATAGTACGGTTTTATATCTTCTTTGGCCTTCAATTCCCTCTGTTGTTTCAAGAGCCTAGCTTTGGCATTAGGTTAAAATCTAGAGGACATATATATTCTTTAACAAATCTACTAAGCTACAAAGATAATACATGTACATGTACTAACAGCTGGCACCTTACTGCATAAAACGTATGTTCAGACCTTCATAAATCCAAATAAATTACTAATTCAAATCAAAGAGAATGTTTACTGTCAATTTTATACAGATCTGGTTTTCTTGTAATTAAATAAAAATAACTTTTGCTTGGCTGGTTAACTTAACTATTATTGCGCATTAGTGTATTATGTATTGGATCTAGATCGAAGTAGAGTGTGTGAGACAAGAACTTTGGTGCCAGACAGCAAATATCAGGTTGTATAAAGGGGCAATTGCCAGGCAGCAAATATCAGGTTGTATAAAGGGGCAATAACTTTGTTATCATCATCATGTTGTGTAGTCTTGAATACTCCAGTGTTATCAATCAAGTCATGCAAATTATACAAACATTTGGTTTACTTTCCTTTGGAATTTTACTGCATAAGAAAGACACATAAGACATAAGATGTCAATAGTGAGTTCTGCATGCCAAATCATTATATTGGGTTGTCTACCATTTGCTTTAGATCATCTTGGATTTGATATTTTACTGTCTTCAGTAATGGCTTTGTTTACTGCTCAGACAACTACTGCAGGTATACTTTTCTCATATCTTTTTTTCAAGTATTTAAGAAAATCTCAATCCCATCAAAAGCAAGTATGAAACTAGAAAAACAGCAACTCCACGGAGTAGCAAAACCCACCGAACAAAACTTTTTTTGAGAAATAGTGGCCATATAAAATTTGAACCAAATCCATCCACTGATATATTTGAGTTATCAAAGATTATGTTTTTTATGAGCTGCCACCTATCATATGTCCCAACTGGTACTTGATTTATCAAAGATTACATTTTTAATGAAAAATGGTGGAGATTTTGATAAATAGTGGCCATCTTGATAAGTTCTTCTGGAACAGAGCTCCTTTATTTATCTCTAGGCACCAGTATATAAAATTTGAACAAAATATATCCACTGGTAGTTGAGTTATCAAAGATTACCATTTTATGAAAAAGGGCCGCCATTTTGTAATTCAGCTGACGCCTTTGAAATTTCTTCTGAAGCTGATATCCTTCTTCCCTGGACATCAGCATAAAGCATTTGAACCAAATCCATGGCCGCCATTTTGAAAATGTCTTCTTGAGCCAGCTCCTTTGTCCCTAGGCAACAGCATATTAAATTTGAACCAAATCGATCCACTAGTATTTGAGTTATCAAACACTACATTCTTTAATGAAAAATTGGGGGCCGGCCATCTTAAAATTAAGTGGCCATCTTGAAGATCTCTTCTTGAGCAAGACTCCTTTCCTTTGTCCCTAGGCAACAGCATATAAAATTTGAACCAAATCGGCCCACTCGTACTCAAGTTATCAAAGATTATATTCTTTCCAAATATGGCCACAATTTTGAATGGAGTGGCCATATTGAAAATTCGAAAAGTTTATCAGCTCTAGAACTTCTGACCATATACTATAAAACACATTGAATTCATGTGAGCAATCTTTGTACATTTATTTCTTTTCACATATTCATGTGTTGTGCTATTTACCACAGATATCATAATTCCCAACATTATAGCTTTTTAATCATCACTTTAAGGCTATTATGAATGTACTTATGGCTTATTAGCTGCTGGGGACACACTTATGTAACAGCAGTGTGCACAGAAACGGCTTAATCTTTGGTGGTAAGTTAATTAAACCTGTTATCATAGGTTTTAACCTCAAGCAAATTTCATGAATTTAATGTGTTTTAGAGTAATATTTGAAAAATTTGAAGTAATTCCATTTAGTGGTTTTCCTTGAATCATGATAACAAGATTTATCTAAAAACTTCCAAATTGGCCACCAGAAAGCAAGATGGTTTGTAAAAAGTTAATCAGCTCTAGAACCTCCTACCATGTAACATGCATTTAAATTTGAAGTAAATCCGTTGAGTGAATTTCCTGGAATCAGGATGACAAGATTTATCCAAAGTGGCCACAAGAAATGAAGATGGCCACCAAAAAGTTAGAACTTCTTACCATGTAACATGTGTAAAAATTGAAAGTAATTTCGTAAAATGGTTTTCCTGGAATCAGGATGACAGGATTTATCTGAAAACCAGAAAATAAGACGGCTGTCAAAAAGTTAATCAGTTCTAACTTCTTACCATGTAACATGTGTAGGAATTTGGAGTGAATACAATTAGTGATTTTCCTGAAATCACAAGATCCCTGCCTACCCGCCAAGTTGACAACAGTATCGTATCTTTTTTTATGCAAGATAAAAACGTTATCAATAGAGCCTTATTGGAATTGAATAATTGATAATTCCAATATTGTAAATGGATATATAAACATGATATAATTTCTTGCCATATAATTTACTTATGGTGCATGAAGGGTAATAATGAATTTTCAATAATAAATTGTACCTAAGCACTTGTATCCATGTTCACATTGGAAAATTAGTATCTTCACTGTGCACTGTATAGAAGAATATTTGATGAATAAAAATTTAACTTTTATTTGGAAAATGGTATTTGAGAAATAAGAAGCCGACAACTTTTTCCCCAATTATTTTTTCAAAAATCTCTAAAATAAGTTATGAAAATGGTAAATGGATGATGAAAACATATTTTCGAACTAAACATGGGATCTTTAAAGTAAGCAGAACAGAAAAAATGATACAACCCATTAAACTAACATTGTGACATCAGAGGGAAAGTCACACCAACTACATGTATATACACCTTAGCAGAACTTTAATCCCCCTATATCAGGGTCACATGTCTGAGTCTGTGTCTGGCATCGCAAATATGAAGCAGATTAGCAGCAGACCATAACTCTGACATTAAACACGTCCTATCTAACTAACTAATAATTGCTTCACTGATCTCAGAATACCAGCAAAAGTGTAGTCCCTGATGTATCATTTAAGTTCCCATATGTCAGATATGTTAAGCAATTACCCAACTCTATATGCTTTACATGAAGTCTTAATTCAATTATAATCACACTGGAGGGAATATATTAACTAAGGTGAAGATGAATTTGAAACTTTAATTAAGTGTATGACAATGTGTAGTAAGTAAATGTCAGTTTGCTCCACATAGAGCAATTTCCCAAAGTATCTAAAACAAGATACAACAAGTGTGAAATGAAAAAGAGAGTCAAAGAGAGGAATTTGCTTTTAAACAGTTGGTTTCTAAAGGCGAATCCATTTGACATTCATTATAATGCTTATTTAATATATATTTGATATAGCTACTTATTTAGCTTTTTGACTTTCAGAGCAGTTTCATTTATGTGTTCACTGTTTCTAAGGTTTTTGTTGAAAATATAGCCCAAATATTTGAACGAATTTACTTCTCTGAGTTTCAAATAACCATTCTTTTGCCTTGTCTGTTTTTTCCCCATGACCAAAACTTTTGATTTTTACGGCTAAAGTTGAAACCTGATTTGATAGTGAATTCATTGACAATTTGAAGCGTAACATTTAATTTGTTTCGAAATAAGCAAAGAGGACTATTTCATCCAAAAACATGAGCGTTGGAATAAATTGCACTTCGAATTTTACCTTTACATTTTTGAGTTGGTCATACAAACCAGACATTATGATAGGAAATAGAGTTGTTAGGACACACCCTTGCTTAACACCGTGTAATTGAGTGAACCAATTGGTTTCAAAACTGTGTCCAATCCAGAAGCAACTTTTTAATTGTTATAAAATGCATGTAGATGAATGTCTTGGTGTTTTGAATGAGTTATAAACATTTTGAATGTTAAGAAAAGAATAACTGAACTGAAAATAAGAAAATTGCTGATTGATTTTCTAACATAGTGTCAAGAGGAGAGGTTATAGCATAAAATAGTACTAATCATTTAAACAATTTACTCTTGTTAATAGTTTATGAATGACGTGAATAAATGGTCAAGTACTATGTTTTTTAATATTATGATAAAATCATTTTGCTAAACCTTATTGATTGATTAATTAGAGTTATCATTTTTAGTATTTTTTGAAAATATAAAAAAATTAAATTTTGATTAACAGTATTTATCAACGAAAATATTCAAATTAAATGATTCATACTATTTTCAATTAATATCTGTAATTCTTTGATTCATTTCAAATTATTTCTTAACAAAAAAAAAGTAATAAAGATTTTGTTTTGAAAAAATATTTCTCACACAGAGTCACTGACCAAACTTTTAATCATGAACTTAGATTTTTTGGTTTCAAATAAACTTGATTTTAACCCCCCCCTTTTATTGGGGGGGGGGGGGGTCATGACTAGGGTGTTTTATTTGATTCTTTAGTAAAAAGCTTTAAAAAAACTAATATTCTGGTACTTTATTTTGTACCAGAAAATAACATGTGGAGGTATAGCAATTTTTTCCCAAAATGTTATTTTCCAGCTTCTCATTCTTTTTATGACTAATTTTAGTTTGATAAAATGTGTTGTTTATAAACCTACATGTAAAACTTTCTTTAGATACACCTTATTGTTATGTTAGAGTGCCACTGTTTAAAAGTGAATATCTAAATAGAGAAAAAATGATAAATAAACACCATAATTATATTTCCCACACTTCATATTGGAACTAAAAGCTTATTGGAAGTAAAAGCTTAACATTTTGTTTTCTTCTGCCATATGTATATTTAATTTTAGGCTCCAATTATTCACTGAAGTAAATAGTGCGTTGGTGCGTTACAATGAACAAAACATATAGTCAATATAACATACAGGGCATTTGAGTTCACATTTCGATTACTGAAGTAGGGGCTTTCACCATCAACTGTGGTACTTTTATCCATGTATTATATTCATACCTCATTCATATAAATGTACATATACATGTATTGACTTTCATTCGAGTAAGCCAATGCTACAGTTTTTCAAACTTTTGAAGACTATATTTTTGTTTTAGTGAGAAGAGAGGTGAAATTTTTCTTTGTGATATGGCTGATACTGACTGGGGAAAATGTATGCTTATATTTCAAATATTTCTACCTACTGCATTTGCAAATATGGAGGCAGCCATTGGTAGAATTGTTGACAGTTTGAGCCAAACGTATACTCAGGATATAAATGAATCCTTGGTTGTTGTATCATTGACGGTCAGCATTGCAAACATTCTTCGGGCATACCTATCACCAAACCAGGCGAGCCAGGGATTTATCACATTGGTCAAATCAAAGGTTGACTTAAAGAAAGGACTTATTTTTGTGATTTTCAGTAGCACCATCACAGCAGGAATTTTCCTTTTGATTGGTCTTACACCAGTGGGATATATCATCCAAGAGCTATTTCGTATTACTAATAAACAACTTGAAGAAGTTCAATTTGGCATAGCATGTTACAGTTTGCAATCTATGATCCTAAACATTGGGTCTGGAATCCATGGGTTATTATTAATGAAAAAACACACCTATTTTTGTCTCTTCGCTGAGATTTTGACATTCATTTCAAAAATAGGATGTGCTTTTTCTCTCATGGCTACACCCTTAATAACTAGAAGACCAATTTTGATACCTATAATATCAGCATATGCTGCAGCTCTGGTTTATCTTCTCTTAAGCTTTATAGGATATAAAATATACTTGATCAATGATCTACCAGCTGAAAGTACAATTAACCTGACATACCATCAAATGTTTAAAGTAACGCTACCCCTAGGACTACAAGAATTGATTGAAAGATGTGAAACTAATATTCTCAGCTTTACAGTTGCACAACTCACGCCATCTGGATCTATGCGGAGTAAGGCACTGGCAAACGTTTACATTCTTCATTCATCATTTTACTCATTGCGAAGGATATTAACCAGTATTTCAACAATGGTACCAGCATACCTTGCATCTGGGGTTAACTCATCATTACATTTCGACAATGAACTAGTTATCTCCACTTCAATGATTGCATTTGTTTTATTTTTGATTTCAATTTCAATGTGCTGGATTACTCCCATTACAAGGGTTATATTTCTATATTTATTTCACATTTCTGAAGAAAATTTCATTGCAGTATACTATCCCTTTAAGTTGTACACATTCTGGCCAATTATACAAACATTTGCTTTGTTTTCATTTGGAGTTTTACTGCACAAGAAAGACACTAAGATGTCAATAGTGAGTTCTGCTTGCCAAGTCATTATATTGGGTTGTCTACCACTTGCTTTAGATCATCTTGGGTTTGATATTTTACTGTCTTCAGTAATGGCTTTGTTTACTGCTCAGACAACTACTGCAGGTATACTTTTCTCATATCTTTTTTTCAAGTATTTAAGAAAATCTGAATCACATTTAAAGCAAGTATGAAATTAGGTTGATGCTGACATTATTCCATGTGTAACCCTGCCTATTACTTCATCCATGTATTAGTATTACATTATATTATTGGAATAAAGTTTAAAATGGTGTACCATCCTCTTAGTTAATTTCAGTATGTATACATACGGACGGACATATGGATGGATAGATGTACGTATAGATGGAGCTATTCTCTATATCCCCCAAACTTCATTCAATGTGATACCAAGATATTGTCCCAAGGTGCATATGAAGCACGAGCTGTGGACAGTCCTCAGAAAGCCATATGGGACAGCCATCTCACTCATTTCTACAAATCAATCATCAATCATACAGGAATATATGAAAGTGCAAGAAATACCCCTCAATTGACGATTTGCAACGGTTGATTCAATGTTGTAGTGACGTCACAATTAGGCCACAGTGCTGTAGCTGTTTGATTTTAAGAGATTATCTTCTGTATTTCATACTTTATTGATTTATTTTTCACGAAAGTATTCGATTTGACTAGATCAACAATCATTCTAAGCACATGCCAAGTCTATGATCTTACTGACATGATTTAAATAGCGGTTATGCGCCTCCCGAGTTTGAAAAATTTTGTCTCTTCATCATGTCTAATATTATTTCTATATGAACTCATATTAATAAGACAAAATACACGACAACAGTTGAACAACCTGATTTACTTTGAAAACCTATTGTCTTTGGATTACTTCCGAAAATACCGAGAGGATCAACATATCTCATATTTAGTTAACAGGTGAGTTAACGTGTCTGAGAGTTTTATTTTATTTTTTTTAATAAACTTTATTCACCTTATTAAAACATTTATACAGAGTCTGAAATTTAATTATCAAATTTAGTTAGCTCTCCTACATTGAACTTTTGCATTGGTCCCTAACCTAGTTCAACATTAAGAGTAGCTACAAGCTTATTTTAAATTTAATATATACCTGGTATATTTCACAAAGAGATGTTTAGAATAATGGCCACACAATTCCACTTGAAAGAGAGAACTGAATCCAGCTTATTGAGTGACGGTCACTAAGAAATGTTTAAAACTATATAAATGTTGATAAGCGGTCGGAAAACTGCAGTTTAAAAAGGAATAACTGTTCTTAGCTTGATAAAAGAATACTTTTACTTTTAGACACAGAGGATGTACAGTACATCAGTGTTTAAGATGAAACTAAGACTAAAGAAAAATGCAGTTCATACTGATTAAAAGGGAGATGAAAAAAACTAAGAAAGAAGTTTTATGTTTACTTTCAAAGACTGATGCAGTGAACTTTACTCCACTACTTTCGAGTTGTAGTAAAATATGTTAAAATGGCGGCCATTTTTCAATATTGCCACCTTCTTCCAAAAGTGTCATTAGACAGTGTGCAATGCTTGTAGTATTCACATATCAAATCTGAACAAAATCGCTCCACTACTTTTCTAGTTATAGTAAAATAGGTTAAAATGGCACCCAATTTTCAAAATGGCCGCCTTCTACCAAAAGTATCAATAGACCGTGTGCTTTGCTTATAGTATTCACATACCAAATATGAACAAAATCGCTCCACTACTTTTCAAGTTATGGTAAAATACGTTAAAATGGCGGCCATTTTTCAAAATGGCAGCCAATTTTCAAAATGGCCACCTTCTACCAAAAGTGTCATTAGACAGTGAGCCATGCTTATAGTATTCACATACCAAATATGAACAAAATCGCTCCACTACTTTTTGAGTTACAGCAAAAATTGTAAAATAACGAGTAAAGGCCGCCATTTTTCAAGATGGCTGCCATGTGCTTCTTTAATATCTACATTACTAGCTTTATTAATGTCCTACATAATTTTTTTACATTTAAAACATATTGCTATTACAGTTTTACGTATTGCACCTAAATTGCTGTAAAATCGGCACTAAAATGGCCGCCATTTTTAAATGTGTTGCCATTATGAAAATCGGCTTTCGAGCAGAACTTCTACCTTCATAGGGTATATGTGTACAATGTGTACTATGGGCCCTATGCCATATATAGATTCAATAATTGGCTCCCATGATCAAAACAAGGAGCTAATCGAGAGGGTGTCCACTGAAGTAGAAGACCCCATAGTGAATTATGATGAACAAAAAATAGTCATCATAAAATAGATATTTATAATGCATATGTTATATTTTATTTAATATTCAAGTTGGCCAACAATACATTACTGAAAGCTTTTTAAGACAAGGTTTTTATTTAGTAAGAGATGACTTTTAAAGCTCATGATATGGCTGATATTGACTGGGGAAAATGTATGCTTATATTTCAAATATTTCTACCTACTGCTATTGATTCTTGGGGAGATGACTTAGAAAATGTCTTGAGACATCACCAGTTATGTGCACGCATTGTTCATGCAGTCTGTGAACAAGCGGTGAGAGGTCTCTGTGTGGGGACCTGGGAGACATAATCTAGTCGCCTAAGTTTCCCTAAACTATCGCATGTCTAATATGTGACAAGAATAGTATATGTCAGTAAAAATGGCGTAAGATATTGTTCGTATCTTACCCAAGAAATATTGTTTTGTTTTTTGTTATTTTTGTGAGGGCGGCCGGACATCCCGGTCCTGTGGTGGACCATCTCTCTTATATGTGTGTCATGATAAGAGCACAAGATGTTTCGAACTCATGGGTGGTAGTCCATGATGTGTTCTTCATCAGCGGCTTGGGGAATGGGGAGGGGGAAGGGGGAATGTTAGTGTATACACGGGTGTGTGTTCCGAAGTACGGGCAGTGGTTTGCAGGTTTAAATTGTAAACGTTTGGTGTGTTTTGGTTGGCACTAGTAGTAGAAGTGTTGTTTAGTTTTAAAGTTAGTAATACAAGGGTTTGCTTTATTAGTTTTAGGGGGGTTAATATAGTTTCGGGTTAACATGTTTGGCGGTTTCCATACACGTTCATACATTTCATATGCTATACACATTCATACTTTTTAATTCATAAATGTTTAATTGCTCTTTTGGTAGAGAATGGTGGCCCTGAGAAGGGCCGGGGTTGTATTTTTTAAAGTAGTTTTGTTCTACTGTCTTTTCCCACGGGGTTTTGTGTTTGGTTCCCGTCTTTTTGGTTTGAAGGCCTCACGCCTGTACTGCTCTGCCAGTTTGTCTGCTTCTACAAGGCCGATGGTTTTGGCTAGCGTTTGGATGGTTTCACTGGTTTGTTGTCTGTGAAAGTCTAGTCTGTTTTGGCTGTGGAGTGTGGTGGCTTCTGTCAGCTGGTCGCTGCAATGGTGTAAAATAACATCAAACGCCTTTTCAATATCAGAGGTTTCCTTCTCAGGGGCGCCGCATTTGATATTTGGTATGAGGCCTCTTGGGATGCCTCCCGGGCAGTTGTTAAGGCTTTTAAGAACGCCATCGTGTCTGGCTTCCCAGTGTATTGATGTTCTCAAACGGGTGAGTAGAGCTGGGTCTGCTTGGCGTGTGGCGTTGGGGTTGTTCCCGATGTTTGTAGGTAGGCCTAGACCCATCGCGTCTATGATGTTGAGAGTGGGTTTGGGTTTGCGTGGTATTGTGTATAAAGGGTTGTTTTTTGTGAAGGTAGAGGCCGACTTGATATGGTGTTTGTCTTTAGGGCTGCTGGTTGTAGCTTGTTTAAAGGCTTGCTTGTTGAAGGCAGCGCTGTTAGCTGGTACTTCTGAGTCGGGAATGGTGTCCCTGCTGTCATTCATCTCCATAGAGTTATGAGAGTTGAATCTCCCGCTGCAGATAGACGCCTGGGTATCATTGGCGTTGGCAATCATCTGGCCTATTGATAGGTCTTTGGCAATGCTCATGTTGAGGTTTAGGTTGTTGTTGTTGTTATGTTGTCAGTGTTGTACTGTAATATGATCTATCGTCCTCGTGTGTTATATTTATATGGAAGGTGCGGACGTCAGAGAACAAACTTCCGGTTTATTGCTCTTCTTAGTGAAAAGTCGATAAGATTAAATGTAAGTGTGTTTGTTGTGTGACTTTAAGCGGGTATAGCTCTGGATGTAGTGCCTTGATTTTAGTGTGGTTGGTGTGTTTTTGTTTGTCTAAGTTTGTTCTATAAGGTCGTGTTAAAGTTTTGTGTTTAGAATGTTCGATTGTGGTTTTGTGGTTGATGAATCGTAATATGGTGCCGATTTTTTCAAAGTTTTTCGTGGTTTTCGTGTTATTGTTGTTATTTAGTAGCTGTGTATTGCCTTTTATTTGTAGTGGTTGTGTAGAATAGGGTTGTAGCTACCTTATGGTGTTTAGTTTTTGAAGTTTGGTGCAATATTGGTTGAGTTATGGTTGTATTTCTACGGGTCAAGAAACACAGTGATTTCCCCGGGAATTTAGTTGGTTTGGGAGAGTTGCGGTCTTTAATTGGTGTGCTTGTTGTGTTGTATATCATGTTTTTTTGGTATGTAAATATTGAATTTGTTAGTTGTTCGTGTGTTTTGGGTTTTCTGGGTGTGGTGGTTTGGTTATTAGAGGTCGGGTGGTTGTCAATTATATATAATAGGGTTGTTCTATGTGTTAGAGAATTTGGCTCTGACTAGAGCATCGCTGAGATTTTGGTTTCTTCTCAGAGCAATAGTAGGGCTATTGGGGTATATCTGGGTTAGTGTAGGGTCGCTTTTTATAATGTGCCAGTGTTTTTGCAGAATAGTTTTGATCTGGTGGTTGATACCCGAGTGTGTGGTAATGAATGGTAGTGTGTTGTTTTCATATGTTTTAGTGCGGCGGGTACGGGCTGGTTGGTTCAGTAGTAGCGTTCTATTTAGTTTTCTGGTGTTAGCTATGTGTTTGTTGAAGTTCCTCGGGTTATGTCCACGTGTTTTTAGGTATTTTTTGAGGTTTTCCGAGTTTGAATCGTAGTCTAGTGTTGTAGTGCAGAGTTTTTTGTATCTAATGCATTCCCCTTTGGCTAGGTTGTCTAGGCAATGTTTAGGGTGAAATGAGTTTGCAGGTATGAATATGTGAGCATCGGTTGGTTTGGAGTATAGTTTGGTGTGTAGTGTTTTGGTGGTGTTGAACTCCTTAGGTTTGTATATCAGAGCGTCAAGGAATGGTATTTCCGTTGTAGATGTTTCTACTTCAAATTTAATTGTGTCATGTGTTTGGTTGCAAT